CCTTGACTTATGTAAAAATTCATCTGGTTTCTTTACAGAAAGAAACTCCAACAAGTCCAGGCCCAATCTACTCAACATCTCCTAAAATGGTCGCTCCATACAAGGCTGATTCTAGGTATGAAGGGACTGTCTTGAGGAGAGGTTGAGTAGATTGGACCTGTACTCATTGGAGTTTAGAAGACTCACAGGAGACCTTATTGACACATACAGATTCTTAGGGAATTTGACAGAGTAGATGTGGACAGGGTTGTTTCCCCTTGTGGGAGAATGTAGGACCTGAGGGCATCATCTCAGAATAAGGGGTTGCCCATTTAAGACAGAGTTGAGGAGGAATTTCTTCTGTCAGAGGATAGTGAGTCTGTGGAATTCTTTACAACAGAGGACTGTGGAGGCTGGGCCATTAAGTTTATTCAGGGCTGAGATAAACAAATTTTTAATTAGTAAGGGGAATCAAAGGTTACGGCGAAATGGCAGGCAAGTAGAGTTGAGAATGATCAGATCAGCCATATGGGGTAAATGGCCTACTTCTGTTATCAAGTCATTGAGATGTGCAGCATGGAAACAGACCCTTCAGTCCGACTTGCCCATGCCAACCAGATATCCTAAATTACTCTCGTCCCATTGGCAGCATTTGGGCCATATCCCTCTAAACCCTTCCTATTCATATACCCATCTAGATACCTTTTAAATATTGTAATTGTACCAGCCTCCTCCACTTCCTCTGGCAGCTCATTCCTTACATCCACCATCCTCTGTGTGAAAAAGTTGCCTCTTAGGTCCCTTTTAAATCTTTCCCCTCTCACCTTAAACATATGCTCTCTAGTTTTGGACTCCCTTACTGTGGGGAAAAGACCTTGACTATTTACCCTGTCCATGCCCCTCATGATTTCATAAACCTCTATAAGGTCACCCCTCAGCCTCTGACACTCCAGGGAAAATAGCCCCAGCCTATTCAACCTCCCCCCCCCATAGCACAAACCCTCCAACCCTGGCAACATCCTTGTAAATCTTTTCTGAACCCTTTCAAGTTTAACAACATCTTTCCTATCACAGGGAGAACAGAATTGAACACAATATTCCAAGAGTCTTATGGTCTTAAATCTGCCCTCCTTACCTGATCTGGCCAACACTGGACTCCAGACCACAGACTGACTCATAACCGCACTCTGAGATGGCCCAGCAAGGCACAGGACAATTAGGGACGGCCTCGCCAGTGACACCCCACATCCCATGAAAGAACTGAAAAAAACCCAGTCTGTTGACAAGGAGAGTATCACAGTCATATCCAGAGTTGTCATGATGTGGAGGTGCCGGTGTGGGACTGGGGTGGACAAGGTCAGGAATCACACGACACCAAGTTATAGTCTGACAGGTTTATTTGAAATCACAAGCTTTCGGAGCCTCAGTCCTTCTTCAGGTGTAGAAGGAGCTGTGCTATGAAAGCTTGTGTTTTCAAATAAACCTGTCAGACTGTAACCTGGTGTTGCGTGATTTCTGACCACATCCAGAGTTAAAGGACAGTTATCTCCCGCTAGAATCTTAGTCAATTTTCCCTCACCTACACTCCAACTGCAGTGGGATTAGAATCCCCGCTTTATTTACTGAGACAATCAGGGTAGGGATGGGGGAGAAAACACTGTGACCGCGACCCCACAGCAAGAACCTGCAGCAAAAGGACGGTAACACGAAGGAAACGAGGACTGCGGGAGTTATGGGCTGGAGATGAAAATACTGAAATCCATCATTGGTGATCTATTTAGATCAGAATACATGACCCTGTTGATCCCCAAGAAGCTGTGACCAGGGTCACGGAACGGCAGGATCAGGGTCACATGGTCATTTTTCTCCATGTCACTCAATTCCTTCAATTGTTGGAGGGAGGAGTCAGAGAGGGCGGCACGGTGGCTCAGTAATTAGCACTGCAGCCTCACAGCACCAGGGTCCTGGGTTCAATTCCACCCTCAGGTGACCGTCTGTGTGGAGTTTGCACATTCTCCCCGTGTCTGCGTGGGTTTCCTCCGGGTGCTCCGGTTTCCTCCCACAGTCCGAAGACGTGCAGGCTAGGTGGATTGGCTGTGCTGAATTGCCTGTAGCGTTCAGGGATGAGTGGATTAGATGGCTAAATAGGGGGATGGGTCTGGGTGGGACGCTATGAGGGTCGGTGTGGACTTGTTGGACCGAAGGGCCTGTTTCCACACTGTAGGGAATCTATGAAGAAAGAACATGTGACAGTCACACACTCACAGAGACAGAAATAAGTTTTTTTTAAAGAAAGGGTTTAAATGATGAAACTTGAAGAATATAGTCACCTCACCTACCTGAGTGGGCGATTATATGAGCCTTCAGTTTGTCAGGTCTGTTGAATTCTTTTGTACAACCAGAGTGTACCCTGTGAATTATGCAAAACAGAGAGTGTACCCAGTCATTCATTCACAGATTCCAGTACCACACCTAGAATCAACTATTGGCCAATACTGACCAATCCCGAGGGACAAATCAGCTATTGGCCAATACTGACCAATCCCAAGGGACAGATCAGCTATTGGCCAATACTGACCAATCCCGAGGGACAAATCAGCTATTGGTCAATACCTGTGAAGAAAAATCAGAGTTAACGTTTCGGGTCCCGTGACCCTTTCTCAGAAGTACCAGATGCTGACAGACATGCTGAGCTTTTCCAGTAATTTCTGTTTTTGTTGCTGATTTACAGCATCCACTGTTCTTTTGGTTTTTAAGCTATTGGCCAAGACTGACCAATCCCTAGGGTCAAAACAGCTATTGGTCAATACTAACCAATCCCTAGGAACAGAGCAGCTATTGGTCAATACTAACCAATCCCTAGGAACAGAGCAGCTATTGGCCAATACTAACCAATCCCTAGGGAATAGGAGGCAATTGTCTGGTCCAATGAGATGAAATGATGCTGACAAATTATTGCGATTGAACAGCTATTGGTCTATGTTGACAAGTCCCCAAAGGTGTTTCACATCTGTCAAATTACAGCACAAATATGGGAAAGATGCTGTGTATGATTCACAGGCAGTTAATTTAATGATTTACTCTTTAATTCTTCAGAAGGCAGTTTCCTCTTTTCCTACAGTGATTCCCTTCTGCCTGATCCTCACCAGAGGAACTCAGAGGGACAGTCTGATTGACTGAGCAGCAACCAGCATTCCCAACCAAGTGGGTAGGAAACATGGCCAACCCTGGACCTTACAGCCAATCCCAGAGCAACAATCAGAAGGTTAATGAGAAGCAGAGACAGGCCATGGGCTGGAGGGAAGGGGCAGAAACAGGGATCAGAGATATTACACCATCAGCAATGGACAAATCTAATGATCTTCAACGAATCCACAGAAACCTCCTTGAGGTGCTGAACATGTTCAAATGCCCAAAGGTCACTTTGACCTGTCCATCCCCGTCCCTTATAACAGCGATCCCTTCAGCATCATACTATCTACACAGTTTACCCCAGCTGAAACCAGGCGGTCTCTTTGAGGTGGTGAAAAAACAGATAAACATCTGGGATCATTAATCCCCAAAGCCCCTTTGTGCAAACCTGGCCATGTTCAATGTGGTCCAGTATCTAAGATGGACAGAGTGATCTCCACATCAGACAGCAACAAGCCCAAGCCCCTGGCTGAATGAATTCAGCAAATCAATGGCCACACACAGGCCATATTAAGACTAAATACTGCAGATGATGAAAAGCTGAAATAAAAGGAGAAATTGCTGGAGAAACTCCGGAAGTCGGGCAGCATCTGAGGACAAACGGAGTTAACGTTTGCAGTCCAGTCTGACTCTTCTTCAGATCGTTCTCTCTCCACTGATGCTGCCTGACCTGCTGAGTTTCTCGAGCACGTTCTGACAGGTTCATTGACTCTTCGGGAAAAGACCCACCCAGCTGAACACAAAACCCAGCTGAACACAAAACCCAGCTGAACACAAAACCCAGCTGAACACAAAACCCAGCTGAACACAAAACCCAGCTGCAGATTTTCCAGAGCTTACAGGCACCAAATTAAGTCAGAGAGGAGGAGGAATGTCTTCTCTCAGAGAGCTGAGACGTTTTTCAAACTCCTTGCCTGAGAGAGTTATGGGGGCAGAGCCCTTGTGTATATTTAACGCTGAGATAGATTTTTGATCAGTCGGGGCATCAAGGGTTGTGGGGAAAGGGGCAGGAAATTGGAGGCAAGGAATGTCGGATCAGCCAATTGAATAGCACAGCAGGCTGAAGGGGCCTATCTTATTTAATTGAAAAGCCCTAGAATAGAATAGAACAGAATAGAATAGAATCCCTATAGAGTGGAAACAGGCCCTTCGGCCCAACAAGTCCACACTGACCCTCAGAGCATCCCACCCAGACCCATCCCCCTAATCTACACATCCCTGAACACTACGGGCAATTTAGCATGGCCAATCCCCCTAACCTGCACATTTTTGGATTGTGGGAGGAAACCGGAGCACCCGGAGGAAACCCACGCAGACACGGGGAGAATGTGCAAACTCCACACAGACAGTCGCCCGAGGGTGGAATCAAACCCGGGTCCCTGGGGCTGTGAGGCAGCAGTGCTAACCACTGAGCCACCGTGCCGCCCCTTAGTAATTCAGTAGCTCAGGAGGAGGAAAACCCGACTCCCTGACATTTACGGAACTTGAGGCAGAGTCCCAGGTGAAGAAGAACAGAAAGAGCAGGATGAAATTGGGAAGGCCATTGGAGATTACTCCATGAGCACTACCTGCTTGAGGCTGAAGACTAGGCCTTGAGGTGTACACAGTCTCCCAGATCCAAATGTGTCTCTTGCGCCATGAGAAAAGGACCCTTGGATGGTTCAAAGTGCACAGTCGGTAGGTGCACTGCTCAAAAGACACTTGATTCTCAGGATAGGCAATATGAGTAGCAGCAAGCCATTCAGCCTCTCAAGCTGACTTTGTAATTCAACTCGATCATCAGCGATACTCTACTTCAATTCCATCTTCCCACATCATCCCCAAGGTTTCTAATTCTGGAAACCTATCCTGCTCAATGATTGAGCTTCCACAGCCTCTGGGGTAGGGAGTTCCAAAGATTCACCATCTTCGGAGAAAGGAAATAGTTTGCCTTGTTTTGTGACTGTCTTCTAGTTCTAGACAACAGAGTCCGGGAACTATCCTTCTTATTTTGTAAGTTTCTATGAGATTGCCTCTCGTTCTTCCAAACTCTACAGAATACAGGCCCAATCTCAATTTCTCCTCAGAGGACAGTTCCACCATCACTGGACAGTGTGGTGAATGTTTTTTGCACTCCCTCTGCAGAAGTATATTCCCTCTTGGGTAAAGAGACCAAAACTATGCATAATATTCCAGGAGTGCTCTCACCAAGGCTCTATACAACTGCAGCAAGACATTTTTACTTCCATTCCCCTCATCCTCCCTCCATAAAGACCAACCGTCTTCCCAATCCTTGCTGCATCTGCAACTCAGCTTTCAGTGACCTTATGAGCAAGATGCTTTTGCAAATCAACGTTTCCCAATCTCTCGTCACTTAAGAAATGATCTTCATTTGTTTCCTTTACCAAATTAGTAACTTCGCATGTTTTCATGTTATACGCCAATTGCTTTGTTCTTGCCCACTCACTCAGTGTGTCTAAATCCCCTTGAGTCACAGTCCTCATTCCCACCTAAATAAAAACCGAACGAACTGTGGATGCTGTAAATCAGGAACAAAAACAAAGTTGCTGGAAAAGGGTCTCCTTCTGAGGAAGGGTCACCAGATCCGAAACGTTAACTCTGTTTTATCCTTCACAAATGCTGCCAGACCTGCTGAGCTTTTCCAGCTTCTGTTTTTGTTCCTCATTCCCATCTAGTCTTGTGTAATTTGCAAACTTGGAAATTACATTTGGCCCCCACATTCAAATCACTGATATTTATTGTGAACAGTTGGGGCCCAAATACTGGCCCTCGAGGTACCTCACTAGTCACAGTCTGCGAACCCAAGAATGATCCATTCCTACTCTCTGTTTTCTGCCCGTTAACCTCTCCTCAATCCATGCCATTGTAGCGACCAGAATCACCACATTTTGTTTATTACTCTTACTGAAAGACTGTGTAAATGGGTGCCACAGGGAACATTTATTACCCACCCATACATAGAATGTGAAACACTTCTCAAACAAATGTGGTATGAGAGACACAGGGGTTGAGACGAAGGGGTCTTTTACATGTTTGTTATAACTTGTACCCTCTACCTGACCTGGGCTGATTGTTCTTTTTAAATCTGAAATTTATAAATCATCATTCTTCAAAAAGTGTCAGGACAGTAATCTTCAGTAAGAAATCTTTGAAGCTCCACTACTTTATTCCAGGACTAACATCCCAAAGAGGATGGGGGTTGAATTTGAGAGCTTGAGTTTAGTTCCTTAAAGCAGCACACGAGTGATGGTGGAAGTGTTTGTGGAGCTGACAGATTGTCATGAAAGCCTGGCTGGGATAACGAGCCAAGGCTGGTACATGGAGTTAGACCGGATATTAGCCACGTTCTCAGTGAATGGCAGGACATACCTGAGGGGTTGAATGGCAGGACATACCTGAGGGGTTGAATGGCCTCACACTATTCCGGAGATGCTGGGCCATATTGAGGGGCCTCTATGTTGGTTTGAGATAGGAGGCACATGGAGGGTGAACATGGATAAAACCCTAAAAGGCATCGATGAACCAGCCAGGCTTTCATGACAATCTGTCAGCTCCACAAACACTTTCACCATCACTTGTTTGCTGCTTCACACAACTAAATTCAAGCTCTCAAATTCGACTCCCATTCTCTTTGGGATGTTAGTCCTGGAATAAAGTAGTGGAGCTTCAAAGATTTCTTACCAAAGACTACAGTCCTGACACTTTCATCCTCAGAGGTACTGGATAGTTCACAGCTTGGAGAAGGGGGGAAATGACCCGTTCGGTCACCTCCCCCAGTTACAGAGAGGCATGCTGTGCTCTACCAGAGAGAGAAGTGACCTTTCAAAGAGCTAGCACACACACCTCAGCCCAAATGGCCTCCCTAGCTACTCCGAGCTTCAGAGATGAAAGGAAACCTACCTGAAAGGGCACTTGAATTTCTTGACAGGGTCATGGGTTAGCATGTGCCTCTTTACTTTATCCTTGCGATTAAACGCTGCTGAACATAATGTGCACTTAAACGGTTTCTCACCTGCCCAAAGACAACAAAAGAAAAGGAATAAAATGGAGCTGCCCATTTCAAATCCATTGACTGAATTAGGCAGACATTCAGAGATTTACAAAGGCTTTACTGTAAAGCTATAGTTTACTACAAACATTAGTTTCCACCTTTCCCTGTCCTGAAGCCAACTCGTTACTGAGGATGAACTCAATTCCTGTGTTTAAATCAAAACGTGTAATGATACACCTCTGGAGCAGGAGGGACTTGAACCTGGATGTACTTGCCCTGAGGTAGGGACACTACCACCACACCAAAAGAATCCGAAAGGTAACACAGGCCGGACATAGTTTCTAATCGACCTGTTAAGACATGTCTTTACACATTTCTGGAGCAGGTGGCTCTTGACCATGGGCCTCCTGGCTCAGAGGTAGGGTCACTACCAATGCACCACAAGACCTCCTGGCCAAACGTCTTCCCCATTTTAATCAATGCATTCAGTGATGTTATTACACACCCTGACAGCAGGTAGGAGTTGAACCAAAGGTTGCTCAGCTCAGAGGTGTGGATACTTCCTCTGTATCACAAGAATTCGTGTCTGGAATTCGCTAACTGTGCTGGTGGTGGGGTCACCTTAAGTGCTGTAAGGTGCACAAAGATAGGATTAGAAAGGGCACAGAGTCATACAGCATGGGATCAGACCCTTAGGTCCAACTAGACTATACCGACCATGTTCCCAAACGAAATTGGTCCCACTTATCTGTGTTTGGCCTATATTACTCCAAACCTTTCCTATTCATGAACTTTTCCAAATGTCTATTAAACATTGTAACTGTACCTACATCCACCACATCCCTGGCAGTTCATTCTACACACAACCCCCTCTCAAATTGTGCCTCATGTCTTTTTTAAAACTTTCTCCTCTCACCTTAAAAACCCCTAGTTTTGGAACTCCCCCCTGGGGAAAAGACCTTAGGAATGCACCTTATCTATGCCCCTCGTGGTTTTATAAACCACTATAAGGTCATCCCTCAAATTCCTACGCTCCAGTGTGGAAAGTCCCAGCCTATTTTTTATAACTTACACCCACCAGTCCTTGTGACATCCTTTTTTTCTGAATCCCCTCCAATTTAATAATATCCTTCTTATAGCAGGGTGACCATCTGGATATCTTTAGGTCAGCATGGACAAAATGGGCCATATAGCGTTCTTCTGTGCTGTATCATTTCTATGGTTCTCCAACACAGAGCAGAGACAGTTTTTAATTGACCTGTTGAGAGATGTCCTTCCACACTTTGGGATCAGGCAGGACTTTACAGAACACAAAGTTCAGTGAGTATCACCAGCTCTCAAACGCTGGAGCCGTTTCACTCGAACATTAAAAGGGACCTGCATTTCTAACTCCGACAATACTGACTGCAAAGGAACAGCAACAATCCCTGGAGCAATTCTCCACTAGTCGTGCTTAGTGCAGCTCCAGTGACAGACAATGAAGCACCCACCAAACCCCTTCAACCCTGGCTCCTTCTCTACCGATGGACAGTGGTAACAGAGTGTACCAGCTGCACTGAACCCATTCCCCAAAATTGCCACTTTCCAACCTGTGACCACGACCATCTAGAAGGACAAGGGCAGCAGATACATGGGAACACCGGCCCTTGCAAGTTCCCCTCCAAGCCACTCACCATCCTGACTCATACATTGCCATTCCTTCACTGTCGCTGGGTCAAAATGTTGGAATTCCCTCCCTAAGGGCATTGAGAGTCTATCTACAGCACATGGACTGTAGTGTTTCAAGAGGGCAGCTCACTACCACCTTCTCAGGGGCAATTATGGATGGGCAAAAATGTACTGGCTCAGGAGTGTCACTCACATCCCCTAAATGAGTAAAACAAACTATGTAGCAACATGGGCCTTATGCCCAACATCGGGAAACATTCCAAAGCCAAGCCATCCCATTCCTTCAAACGATGGCCATGAGTTTGTGGCAATAACAGCTGTTGAAATTCCCTTCCAAGACACTCACCATCCTGACTTGCAAAGATATCACCGTTCTTTCAGTGTTGCTGGGTTAAAACATTGGAATTCCTTCCCTAACAGCATCGAGGGTGTACCTACACCTCAAGCACTGAATCGATATAAGAAGGCAGCTCACTGCTTGCTACCTTCTCAAGGGCAATAAGCGTGGGCAATAAATTCTGGCCTAGCCAGCGACACCCACATCTGGGGAATGAGGTAAAAAACAAATGAATTTTGTACAGAGTGTGAAAAGTTATTCAGTTAATGACTAACTCTGTCTCAGGTTCTGCCCAACGATGAAGGTTGCTCACTTATTTGGTTTGTTGCTGGTGTCCTCGCATTGACCATTCACTCAAATTTCTTAACATTCATCAGATAACCAGTAGTAAATGGAGCAAAAACTGCTGGGTGTCAATTTAACTCTTCAACCACTTTGCTTGATCCGGACTGGTTAGATCCTGGAAATAACATCTCCGCAATTCAGTCTGGCAGTACAGGAGCTACCATTCACCTCTGCTGGCTAATCTCAACCCACCCCCACCATAACCCTAAAAACCTGCCCCCTTCTCGATGGCGATTAGGGATTTGCAATAAAAACTGCCTTAACCAATGACAAACACACCCCAAGGCCGAACAACTAAAAAAAACGTGCATTCAATTTTGTTTTGAAGGTTAATGTTGAATCTGCTTACACTGCCTTTTGAGACAAAATATTCCAACCACATCATTATAACTTGCCCCTGGTTTGTTTCCCAATGCCTGTACATCTCTTACCTCTCATCACCCGCTCCCCTGTCAGGGGAAACCATGATAGCTCTGTTTAAGATGGTAGTTGGTCATCCAGTCAATAGGTCAGTTAGCTCAGTTGGCTGGATGGTGATGCAGAGTGATGCTGACAGCGTGGGTTCAAATCCTGCACAGGCTGAGGTTACCATGAAGGACTCTCCTTCTCAACCTCTCCCCTCAGCCTGAGGCGTGGTGACCCTCACGTTAAACCACCTACAGTCATCTCTCTCTCTCTAATGAGGCTTCTAGGACTATGGTGGCTTCACCTTTACATCAACGAAGTCTTCAATAAGTCTAATCTCGGTTCACAAGAGAGCTTTGTTAATTCGGGACACATTTCCCCAACAATGGCGACAGCATGTTAAGTTTCTGTATCACCTGCTCCCTTTGTGATGGACTATCATTTAGCTCATCCAGGCATAAAGACACAAATGGCTGATAACTGCTGTAATAGTCCGGGGAAACACCAAATCAATCTTAGACTTAGCATCAATACAAGTTCATCAACAACAATGTGCATTTGTGTAGTACCATTACAGTAGAAGAATATCCCAAGATACTTGGTCAAATGAAACACAAAAGATGATAATGGGGATAGGTGACCATAAACTTGGCCATAGATGTGGGTTTGGCCAAGCCACTCACCATCCTGATTTGGAGATACATTGCTGTTCCTTCAGTGTCAAAATCCTGGAACTCCCTCCCTAACAGCACTGACAGGGTCCCTGCACTCTAAAGACAGCCGCAGTTCAAGAAAGCATCCCCGCCGCACCTTCTCGAGGAACAATAAATGGGATGGACAATAAATCAATCCTTGCTGTTTACATCTATAACTATTGCAGGAAGGCAGGAGAAGCACAGACCAGAAGTGACCTTTGAAATTGTGTTGTGAAAGCCTCAGCTCAGACTTGAGTCCTGTCATAACATACGAGGAATGTTTGAGGACTCTGGGTCTATACTCGATGGAGTTTAGAAGGATGAGGGGGGATCTAACTGAAACTTACAGAATACTGAATGACCTGGACAGAGTGGATGTTGGGGAGATGTTACCATTGGTGGGAGAGTCTAGGACCCGAGGGCACAGCCTTAGAGCAAAGGGAAGATCTTTCAGAACGGAGATAAGGAGAAACTTCTTCAGCCAGAGAGTGGTGAATCTATGGAATTCACTGCCACAGAAGGCTGTGGAGGCCAGGTCATTGAGTACATTTAAGACGGAGATAGATAGGTTCTTGGTTATCAAGGGGATCAAGGGTTACGGGGAGAAAAGTAGGAGAATGCGGTTGAGAAACTTATCAGCCATGATTGAATGGCAGAGCGGACTCGATGGGCTGAATGGCCTAACTTCTTCTCCTATGTCTTATGGGCTTATAATCCCCCTAGGGATTGCATTCCTGAATAAAAGATGCACGGTAATATAAAAATAATCTAACAACTCCAAGCAAGCATAAAATTCAGTGTGGTGAAATGTGAATAAAAATTAATTGCATTACCTTTGGGTGTTTATAAATATTCATCTTCATAATATGCACAGTAAACAGCTCCCTCTATTGCTTCTCTCTAGGGCCTTGCAATTACAATATGTGGATTTCCATCCCAAAGGTATTGTCATTGTTTTTTAAACACAAAAATAGATTGTGTTATCCCCACTCTATGTAGCTAGGATTTACTTCAGCCACTGAACTCCAGAACAATGTCAACATTGTCACTTTGTTTTTCACTTTCAGTCTCAAAATTCTCCAGCTGCAATTTTCTTGTCACTGCACAAAGACAAATTTAGTTTGTCATTCTATCAAAGGACACGTCCAAAGCATTTCCCATGTGGACACAAAAACATCCAAATGGGCACAGCAAGCTCCCAAAAACAGCATAACCAATCAGGACACGAGAGAGACTCAAAAAAAAACAGAAATTGCTGGGAAAACTCAGCAGGTCCGGCAGCATCTGTGCAGAGAAAGCAGTGTTAACGTCTTGGGTTGGGTGATGGGTTAACCCAAGGGGCACCATGCCTCGGAGAAGGGGAAGAAATTGAGAAGGAGAGATCTTTGTGGTGACCGAACCCTCGCTGTTGGTGTCACGCTCCTTTGCAGACCAGCTGTCCAGCCAACTGAGCTAACTGAGCCCCACTTCTCCAAACTAATGCCAAGGGGAATCTTTGAGACCTACCGGAATGAATGAGGAGGTGTAGCTTGAGATAGTGCTCGGTTTTGAAGGACTTTTTACATATTTGACATTTGAACACTCCTCCACCGCCGTGCACTGGGATGTGCCTCCGCAGGTACCTCTCACTTGGAAAGACCTGTCCATAGGTTGAAGAACACACAACAGATTGAAAAAGCTTTCTCTTAAAATTCACTCACAGGATGTCGGTGCCGTTGGCTGGGCCAGCATCTAATGTCCATCCTGAATTGCCCAGCGGGTAGTTGAGTCAGCCACATTGCTGCGGGTCAGGAGTCACATGCACCAAATAGTCATAGAATCTGTACAGTGCAGATACAAGCTATTTGGCCCATCAATCCTGCACTGACTCTCCAAAGAGCCCTATCCCTCTAATCCCATATTTACTATAGTTAACCCATCTAGTCTGCACACTACAGGCAATTTGGCATGGCCAATCCATCTAACATGCACATCCACAATTCAGGGAAGGCAATGTCCTAGTGGCATTATATGTAGGCCAAACCAGGCCTTATCTTTGCCTTAATGACAACAGTGAACCAGATGGTTTCTTCTAACAATAGATGCCGGTTTCATGGTCATTCTTAGACTCGTAATTCCAGATTTTGAATTGAACCCAAATTCTATCACCTGACATGGTGGGATTCAAACCCAGGTCCCCAGATGAATGGTCTAGCGATAATCCCACTTGGCCATCGCCTCCCCTGAAGTGTTAACAGCCCCCATTAAACCTCTCCCTTCCCCGTCTCTGATCCTCATTCAACTTGAACACGACATTAAAGACAGAGTTATTCAGGAAGTCTGATGGTAGTGGAAGAACACAAATTCCTAACTTTACAGCCAACTTGGAATAAGGGTGACAACCGGCAGGAATTTTCCACTCAAAGGGTAGCAGAAACTTGGAACACACGCCCACTCCTACCCCAGAACAGCAATCGAGGCTGGGGGTCAATTGAAAAATTTTCAGAATGGAGCTCAACTGATTCTTCTTGGGTAAAGCTGGTAAGGGGTTACAGAACTGAAGCAGTTGAATGGAGTTAAGGTACAGGTCAGTTGTGATTTAACTGATGCACAGGTTTGAGGGGCTGAACGGTTTCGACAGGAACTGTAACATTCCCCAAATTGGTTATTCCAAATTGGCTCTGAAATACTTTGTCTCTCCCAGGGACACTGCAGGACAGGGTTGGGGGAAAAAACGATGGGGTAGGACAGGGATGAAGTGCCCAGTCAGAATGGCCCAACTACTCTGGTAATGCTCACGCTACTTTCTCCTGTATCCACAACTGTTTCTGTCTAGGGCTGGAAAGATACCAGACAATGTCCCATCAACAGTTGTGAAGAAAAAGGGTTTGAAGTCCCTTCACTAAGGTTTCACAATCTCATTAAGGGGCCAGTTGCTTTTATAGACAATAGCTACTCAATATACAGGCATTAGAGGCAGTCCAGAAAAGGTCCACTAGGATGATCCCAGTGACGAAGGGACTGTCTTCTGAGGTGAGGCTGAGTAGGATGGGTCTGTACTTAAGGGAATTAGACAAATGAGAGGTGACCTTATTGAAGCATACAAGATTGTTAGGGGATGTGACAGGATAGACGTGGAAAGGTAGACTCTCCCACAAGGGGAGACAATGACCAGAGGAAATAATCTTAGAATAAGGGGTTGCAAATTTAAGATAGAAAAGTGGAGGCATTTCTTCTCTCAGAAGGTAGTGAAGCTGTGGAGTTCTTTACCTTAAAGGGCTGTCAAAGCTGAGCCATTCAGTATATTCAAGGCTGAGATGGACAGATTTTCAATCAGGAAGGGAATCGAGGGGTATCAGGAAAAGGTAGGAAAGTAGGAGCTGTGGATGATCAGATCAACCACAAATGATCTACTTCTGTTCCTATGTCTTATGGTCTTACAGTCTCTGTGCTCACCTTCTGACAATGTGGACACGGGTAATTGTGAGAGGTTGTCTGGAGGTGATGTTCAAGGGCTTCAGGAGTGGAATATTTACTCAAACACCTCGAACACCTGGAAACAAAAGAAGAAAGAGGAATTAGGCCTTTCCCAATTGAGAATGAGGGCTGCTTTGGAAAAATGCAAAGATGCTCAAGTTCATCATCCAAGTTGACCCTCCAACAGCAGTCATAGGGGTGTGTATAGATTTAAGGCAAGGGGCAGGAGGGTTAGAGGGGATGTGAGGAAACATTTTCACTCAGAGGGTGGTGAGAATCTGGAACCCACTGCCTTTAAGGGTGGGAGAGGCAGAAACCCTGATCATATTGAGAAAGTATTAAGATGTGCACTTGCAATGGTTAGGCTATAGGCCAAGTGCTGGGAAATCGGACTAGAACAGTTAGGGGATTGCTTTTGACCCGATGGGCTGAAGGGACTTTTTCTGTGCTGTAGACCTAGAATTTTTTTTATTTGTGGTCATAACAATCAATCAGTCATACAACTACACCCTGCATCAATCCTTACTTGGGTCTTGAATGAGTAAGAGCACTGCGAGAAGGTAGGAGAATGGGGTTGAGAAACATATCAAGCATGATCGAATGGCGCAACAGACTTGGTGGGCTGAATGGCCTAATTCTGCTCCTATATCTTATGGTACCCACCTAAGACTAAGAGTGATGATATAAGACACAGAGGTTTAATGAACGTGTACTGTGGAGTTTGGCAGACACATCGACAGTTTCGAGAGCTTGCAGAGGGTGGCTTGGTGCAGGAGAGGGCACACTGGGGCTGAATGGTTGCTGGGGGAGCGGTGAAGCCAGAGAGTGGTAACAGATTTCAGCTCCGAGTCTCGGAGAGTGGAAAACAGTGGGATATTTTCAGAGTTGTGGTTGGTTGGCTCGCTGAGCTCGTTCATTGTTTTGTAGACGTTTCATTACCATGCTGGGTAACATCATTAAGGCAGCCTCTGATGAAGCGCCGTTGTCTTTTCCCGCCTGTTATTTGAAATCTGGTGTCCGTTGGGCTGGATTACCTCACTTCTGGTTTTCCTTCGCAGTGGAGTGTATATGGGGTCGAGTTCGATGTGTTTGTTGGTGGCTTTCTTCGTGGAGAGCCAGGCTTCTAGGAATTCCCGTGCTCATCTCTGCTTTGCTTGTTTCAGGATCTTGGTGTTGTCCCAATCAAACTGGTGGTTCTCCTTATCCATGTGGATAGAGATGAGTGAGTATTGGTCGTGTCTTTTTGCAGCCAATTGATGTTCGTGTACCCTTGTTGTTAATTTCCTTCCTGTTTGTCTGATGAAGTGTTTGTCACCAGTCTCTGAAGGGAATCTTATATATGACATTGGTCCTGTCCATAGTGGGTAGTGGGTCTTTGGTTCGGGTGAGCGGTTGTCGTAGGGTTGATGTAGGTTTGTGTGCTATTCTGATGCCCAGTGGTCGTAGGAGTCTCGTGGTCAGTTCGGATGTGTTCCTGACGTAAGGTAGCGTGATGAGTGTGTCGTGGCGTGTAGTATCCAGGTACAAGAGACTATACGCTCCGACACACTCATCACTCTACCCTTCATCATATGGACAGGACCAATGTCATATATAAGATTCCCTTCAGAGACTGGTGACAAACACTTCATCAGACAAACGGGAAGGAAATTAACAACAAGGGTACACGAACATCAATTGGCTGCAAAAAGACACGACCAATACTCACTCATCTCTATCCACATGGATAGGGAGAACCACCAGTTTGATTGGGACAACACCAAGATCCTGAAACAAGCAAAGCAGAGATGAGCACGGGAATTCCTAGAAGCCTGGCTCTCCACGAAGAAAGCCACCAACAAACACATCGAACTCGACCCCATATACACTCCACTGCGAAGGAAAACCAGAAGTGAGGTAATCCAGCCCAACGGACACCAGATTTCAAATAACAGGTGGGAAAAGACAACGGCGCTTCATCAGAGGCTGCCCTAATGATGTTACCCAGCAGGGTAATGAAACGTCTACAAAACAATGAACCAGCTCAGCGAGCCAACCAACCACAACATCCACAACCCAAGCTACAAATCTATTCTAAAACCTTATATTTTCAGATTTTGCAGAAGGGATTCTGGGTCCCACTCGGAGGGACTAGAGAGGAACTGAACAGTCACAGCAACCCCAGGGGAAATTCACCATGGCTACATTCTTACGCCACACAAGGTGTGCCGATCGGAAGGGAAGGCTGGCTCACCTGTAAAACGTGGGGCATTTCTTGGGAGTCTGCTGGGGGTAAAGGTTGTGAGAATACTGGTGTACCCCCAGCTCATACAGTGATGGGAAGATCTTACTGCAGAGGTGACACCGGTATGTTATCTCATCGTCGTGATTCTTGATGTGTTCGACAAACTCATCGAGCTTCACAAAGGTCTGAGTGCAATTCTTCACCACACACTTGTACACCTTAGAGAGGAGAACGCATTACAGCAGCATTAGAAACAGCAGCAGTCCCTTGAGCTGACTCTACCATCACAGCCAACGTTCCACCTCAACCCTGCCTCGCCAATACCCCTTCAGTGCTCATAAATCTGTCAATTCCAACACTCTGTGACTGAGCATCCACAGGTCCCAGAGGAAACTAGCCGAAAACCCTCAGCCTTCCGAGCTCAGGAATTTTATTGCATCCCAATCTTAAAGGGCTGACCCTTTCTTCTGAACCTGTGATTCGGATCTCTAGTTTCCCCTGACAGGGAATAGAGAAGGTGTCAGTTTAATGTCTCCTTTGAAAGATGGCGCCACTGACAGAGCCACACACCCCCAGCACTGCACTGGAAATGTGCAACTACGGGCTCCAGCCTCTCCGGTTTTCCCCATGGTAACTTTCATTTTCCCAGCCAAATTCCCTGGTAAATAATTCAAAGCTGAAGCAGTTGACCATTTTCTCAGCATTTACCCTATTAACAATGATATATTTTCCAATGAGATTACCCCTCATTCCTCTTAACAGGTGTGAGTGATAGTGAGTGAGTGAGTGAGGGAGGGAGGGAGTGCCAGAGAGAGAGAGTGCGAACGCGAGACAGTGTGTAACAGAGTGTGCAGGCACGTGTGCGTGTGTATATTTGTGAGGGGGTGTGTGTGTGCACGTGCGAGTGTGAGCATTTGGGGGGTATGTGAAGGGTGCGAGAGGGGGCCGCGAGGGGGGTGGGGTATGGGGGTGTGTGTGTGTGTGTGTGTGTGTGTGGGGTGAGTGGGTGTGGGTG